AGTGTATCCGCATGTGCAATTTGGCATCGGTCCACGTCGCCGCGGCGTCAATGTAGTCGGCTGTCACGTCTTGGTTGACATCCGTGGGAACGAGTTCTTCCCCAGATAGCAATTGAAACAACATGCAGCCTAATGCCCACATATCGACCGCTGGAGATGCAGGAATCAACTCGTACGGCAACTTGGGCGGCGGAGTTGCTGAGGTATTTTCACTGGAAGTAGCTGACGACTCGAGTGGAAAGCTAGCGCGAACGGCATACTGTGGGGTGGTTTGATTGCCTTGGATCGTTGTGGGGACGTCAGACCGTCGATAGAACATTTCTATACCAATATGTATGGTGATATGAATATATATAATATAATATATATGTAGCAACTTTCTATTAATATACTTTGACGAAATGCAATATACATGTTTATATATATATGTAGAATGACTAGTCTACGACACTCAAATAAAATTGCCGTAACCTGAACGACCATGTAAAAAAATATAAAAAGAGCATTTTGGACCAATCACACTCCAATTTATAAAAAGTATATATGTTTTTCGTACTGTAAAAGATGAAAACCATATATATATTCACACAATTTCTCCATATCGCATCCTACGTATTCCTGGAACTTATATATATATATATATATATATATATAATTGCCATTCACCCACTTATAGAGACTGCTGTGGCCAACAACAACTCTAGAACGTCCGAGACGAGTACACGTATTTACACATGTATTCATACAATCTCTCCATAAATCAAACATTCATAGCATACAATATATATATACAACATTCATAGCATACATACATACTTCGAAGTATATATATATATACCTGGAGGGAGAATCCCCGAGCTGAATTTCGCGCCGAGGACGTCGCCTATTCGAGTAGACGCGTCCAAGTCGATCAACTTGAGGTGAACTCCCATTCGCAGCACATTCAGCTTCTTCAAGTCTCCATGTACAATGCGATGGCTGTGTAAATGGTCCAATGCTGCCGCAACCTGCTTGATCATATCGATCACTTGGGCTTCGGATGGCCGTTCTTTGAGAAAAATGTCCTCCAAACTGCGATCGGCGGCAGGCATCACAACCAGGTTGGCATACTCGGCCATGTTGATATGGGAGAGATGCGACAGAGGTAGCTGAGACATGGTTTGGGCAAAATCATCCGGGAGCTCCGCAGGACTCGGCACGAGCCCCAATACAAAGTTCAAGTCGAGACGCTGGCGATGGTAACATTCGCGGTCGTAGTCGGCCTGGGATTTGATGAACTTGATGGCAACTTTGAGATGGGGCCCAAATGTTTGGTCACAGTATCGCAGGAATTCGTCTCTTGTGATAACGTCATCACGGTCGGTGTCCAACATTTCAAACTCGGCTTCCCAACGGTGCATAGTGGCGTCGTCGCTGATCTAATATATATATATATATCGATATCAAGGACGTGAATTGATATTTTGCATATCGGTGAAGCATACATATGATCAAATTTATAAAAGACACTAGAATGGTCACAGAAGACCAACTGAAGGCGAATTCTAGTTGGATAAAACAATTAAAAGTGCAATGTGCACTCGACAAACTCTAAAGTATATTATTTGCATATATATATATAGTGTATGGTGTATATACTGGAACGAACGTTCATTTTAAACACAAAAGACAACAAGCGTGCTGCAATAATAGAATCGAATACGCCCGTGACTGCATGTATCGTTGAAACTTCTCAAATATAATCATATATATATAGGCAACATACATATGTGGAATATGAAATCAACACCTTGCTCGATTACGAGAAAAATAAAATACATGGAAGTGTCATATCCAGTGCCATAAATAATATTCACAAAACACAACCCACTACATAGTATATACTTCCTCTGTTCCAGGTTACTGCCGACATTTACTTTGAATTGACACAGACAATCGAGCCCTCACTCAATTTGGGCGAATGATACTTTGTTTGAAAGGGAATTGCATGAATTTTCGCAAAAAAAAATGGTTTATAATCAGCGCTTAAAGCAATTGTAAGCCAATGAAATGTCATAAATGTTCGATATTGATAGAAATTGAAGAATTACAGCCAATGAAATGCAAATGTCGCCAGTAACTTGAAACATGCGAATTTTGAAATGTCGGCAGTAACCTGGAACAGAGGAAGTATATATTATTACATTTGTACGGGTTTACGATGAGTATTCGAAACAATAATCTATAATCCAAACATATACTTATTCGACTCATCATATCCACTCGACACACTAACATATACTAGTATACATGTGTTGCCCGCACCACGATAGACTATTTGATCCTATCCTCCTAGTACAGAACATATGTACATACAGGAATAAATAATATTTTATTATTATAAAAATATATGTACACATTGTACAACATGTGTACTATTTTTTAATATATATATATATACATGTAGCAGCAATCTATTGAAAAAATACAACCATATTCAATAACACGTCAACAGCAACAACCCTCGTAGGGCCTTTATTTCTTCAATGTACTCTTTGCACTTCAACCATATATCCACTCTGTCACACATACATACACCCTGTCACACATCTACACACTCAGTCGTACATCATCGGTCGCGCGCAGCGGGGCCAACGCCCTGAGACAGTTGCAGAACCCATTCAAGTCGAGCAGATAGCCGTCATTAACGTCCCCTTCTGCTTCCTCTTCAAACACTTGGGCATACATGCCATGATCGTAAGCCAGCACAACCACGGACGTCGCGCTCACGTGCACGGGGGGGGCGTCCAGCAGCAGCTCATACCGCCCCAAAAAGTACAGTTGGTTGGTCAGAAACGCCCGAACGTCGGCGTCGGCGGCATCGATCGCCGGGCGGCCGTGCTCATCTGGAGCCGCCATGAGACGCCGGACTACATGCGTGCGCGGGACCTGGGCGAATAATTCGAGGTCGAGAATGCGTTGGATCACGGCCAGCTTGGACACGTCGTCGGGTACTTTAAGCTCTGGATCGAGGAATATCATCCACGAATATAATGAATGGTCGGGGTTGTCTACGAGCCGGGAAGGGTTGGTAGAGTCGACAGATATGGGGAGGTCTTGGACGAGTAACGCTACGACACTGTCCATGCAAAGATATGGGGCTAGAGTCTGAAGCACGAGCTGGCCCTAAAATATATATATATATATATATGGTCAAATCTAGACAAGGAAGAGGAAACGGGAAATCGATATATATATACATATTTGTAGATATATCGGACCATACTCGTATTTGCAAGTCGCAGTTCCATAGACGAGGACGATCGCGATGCAACGTAGCGGCAAGATCGTATTGCCGCGACCCCAGCAATATATCAAAGCACTAGCAAGACATTATATATATAAGCGTTGATTTATATATATATAAATCAACGCAGTAAGTACCCTGTCACGCGAGTCGTCGTTTACAACCGGCCACAACATTTGTACAATGTGTTCGTGTCTGCGATACAGTGCCTTTTCGAGTGGGGTGACACCTCGCTACAACGTTGTAAAGTATATATATACCAAGTGTAATGTATTCTACTAGTAGGATAGAAGCCAGGGAATACGACGTACCTCAGCTGTAGCGTTCACTTGGATCCCATCATGACTCAAGAGCAATGCTACGACTGGGGCGTGTCCATTTTCAGCAGCACGATGCAATGCCGAGGGTGAGCTCTGGGCAGAAAGATGGGTATTAGATGCGAAGTCTGGTGTGGTACGTACGGGCGGCACGCCAGGCGGTCGATTCACGTTGATATCAGGATGCGCGAGAAGGATGGCGACGGCATCCACATCCCCGACTTCGGCTGCACGGATCAATGGCGTGTACACGGCCTGGACTGACTCGAGTCAAGAATCTGAATGGGGATTCATGCTGTGGGTTACCTTGTTGATGGACGTGATCGCATTCACATGTTGCGCGTCCGCCGTGCGCACAAGCCGCTGCAACGCCGCGGTGTCTCCAGCGGCAATCGCAGCAAAGATGGCGCTACTGCTGCTGCTGGCTGGTATCATGGGGATGATGGGCACACTGCAACAATGACATGTGGCTAACGTGATTCGCCGTACTTCGAAGTATATTTTTCGACGTAGTATCTAGTCCTTACTGGACGTATTTAATATAAAAAGGTGGCATCGATACATTACATTCATACACAGCGTTCACCCGTATTATTAAAAAAACAATATGTTGTTTTAATATTCTCATACATATGCCCAGTCCTCTTCTTCTATGATTCATATTAATATGAATGGATCATCACATATTTGATTCTTTTAAATACATCATTGCACTTCAACCTGACCACGCAATATAATTGGACACAATCATTTGGTACTGAGTATATAATAATACTTATTCCCAAATGACCAGCAAACAGCAAATTGCTGTTGTATGAGTGTAGGTAGGATGAATGATGTTCTCGGGCTCTCGTTCGTCATACAGTATGTAGTACAGTATATACTTCAAAAGTCAATGTAAACTGACAGATCAAGCAAAAGATCCGACAGATACTCTCTTCCTTCTGATCGTTGGATGTTTTATGTCTGGCACTTGTTTGTGAAAAAGTTGCAAGCCGACGGCAACATGAAAGCGGAGAGTTGATGCTATCACAGCTCAAAGTGATGGACCTACACTGGCTTACGAGTGGGACAACCACTATGATCTCTCTAATCCATATGTGGATGGTACAGTATCATGATCTCCATTCCTATGTATGTACTTCCACCAAGCTGGGATCCGTCGTTAAACCTGTCTGAAAGTTCTCTCTGCGTGTGGATTTGCTGGTTTTGATGTGGTTGGTTTGCATTTCACGGCAAAAAATGAGCTTGGTTGTCCTTTTTTGCGAAATATGCTGACTTATGATCCTGGTTTGGGTTAGTTCGCAACAATATTTAATAAACAACGCCATCTATCTTGGAATTGGTAAGAACATTTCAACGTTTTATTTTATTTCAACGACATCAACTCGAAATATGTTTATAATACTACTTACTCACTGTACAGTACTCTTTACTTGCCTTTCAAAGATTCGACGCCACACATGCCGCCGCCGCCGTCGTCGATGAGTGTGGACATCTTCACCGCTGCGTCCACAGGAGAGATGGAAACGCTAGAACGTCTATTGCTTACGGCGGACTCGACGGAGGTGAACGCGACCACAGTCCACAACAGGGTACGCCCGTCCATACTTGACGACAACCCTGGATTGACAAGTCTCCGCATCCATGTAGCGCCGCGTGACTGCGATGGAACAAGCCATGAATAATGGACATTGGGAGGTTGTGCACATGCTGTGGGCGCATCCGTCTGTGGCCGACGACTCTCGCGACAAGGTAGCACACGACACCATATATTAGTCATCGTGGCCTTTCTCGAGTTAGTTTATGAGACGACCATATCCCTTGCGTATTCATTCCGTTTTTCATACGCTAGAGCTTTAAGAACCTGCTCAAGAGCCAGAAACATGAGCATGCTGCCAACGTGCTCAACACAGTTCCGTCATCCATGTGGAAGTGTCGGTTGGTCGTCGCCTCCACCGATGTACGGCGGCCATCCATCTTCTTTTTCGTGTATATAGTGCAAACGGTTTTTCGTGGGGCTTTTACATAGGGCGACAACGCTCTGGCATGTCTGGCGCCATACTTGTCATTGGGAACATTTGTCGACATTCTTCTACTCGACCTCCCCTTTCGCGTCGCCTTCGCCGACAATAACCACAGCAATGCGTCGGCGGTCGTGCTAGAGGACAATCCTGGCCACTCATTCACGTGGGCGGCGTTCGTACACCCAGATCTTCCCGTCGCCGACGACGTGTCCAAGGTCGCCGTGGTCGCCGCCATGTTGAACCACCCATCGCTTCATGCTGTGCCCCGCGCCGACGTCGTCCGACGACTCATGACATCCACAGACCATGACGACCGCGCCACCATCGACATGGCCGACAAACTCGTTCGGGAATACCTGACTTCGCAACAGTACTTTTTAACCCGATACGAACTCGTGGACGGACCCCCCGTGCATGTGAGCGCGACCGCGGTCGTCTTGCTCGCCATCGATCACGGTATCTTTGACCAAGTGTTTGACGAATATGCTGGCGATGATGGATGCTTGGACTTGAACGGGTTCAACAGCTGCAACATCACCCTTGGGCGTGTACATGCGGATTCTAGGGGACACAAGGTACGAGGGTATTGCTCTTTTACCCGACTTTGATTCGCCAAATATAACGATTGATTCATATTTGTGACTACATTTTGGAAAAAGATTTTCACAGTATAATTATTGTCGATTTGATAGTACAAATTTGGGGAGGGGGTGCAATCGAATCGCACCGACCAAACCGATCCACAATCGATCTGATTGGTTGTTGAATTTCATTGAGAAGGTTTTGATTGGTTAATAATTTTGAGCTCATCTGAAGTAGCCAATCAAATCGATTTAAATTCAAATTCCAACGAGAAACCACAACACAATGAAATTTCACTCGAAAGCACAATATAGTCGCACACTAATTTGGCGTTGATGGTGGTTCCTTGCAATCTGATTGGCTAAGCCCGAATTCTGCCCATGCTTGTTGTGTATATTTATTTGGTTATGCGTCGATTGTTCATGTCGTCGGTCCAGTTATAAACATACACACCACAGTACTACAACCACGAGCAAATATGTCGTTGTCTGGTTGCTATATATATATATAGTACTTGTCTTTTCAGTAAGAGCCAATCAAATATCCACTCAATCGTTGGAGTAGCCAATAGCGTCGATAATTCGTGATTCAGAGGCGGCGAGATGGGGTCTGGAAATATATATATATTTTTGGACCGAATCCATCCATAATCTTATGATGATATTCATCGCTATTTAAGAAATACCTTGGATAGTTATGTCAAACATTTGATTATTTGTGCTACCACACACACCCTTGATATGATTTCGTGTATTTGGTGTACCACGTCGTCATTTGAAGACGCTTATTTTCACGTATTTTGGACGGTCTAGATCAAATTGATTGCGACAGGAATATTCTTGCCGATGACGTTGACAAGAGAACCAAAACGTCAACACCTCTCATTTTTTATAGGTTAAATTGGCTCGATATTTGGCAACATATGGATAATTCTCCAGATCTTGGGATCCAGACAGAGAATATTTCTCTTTTCTTTTGCCGATTGGTTCGAAATTGCCAAAATTCCGACGATTTTGGCCCTTTGACATCCAAACCCACATCTCGTTTTATGATATGGCGCGCGAAACGATAGTTTTCGTATGGTCGAAGATGTATATTGGTACAGCGAATGTACTACGTAGAATCGTCTTCGTATCAACTGTTGTAGTAGTGTGTGTTGAAATATATATATATATATACACGTGCATTGTCAGTATATTGGTGGACTTGGTGTGAGTAGTAGTTGCTTCAACCGTGTCTTCTAATATATATCTGTTCATGGAACGACTCGTATTGAGTTCATATCATCCACATTTGTGTGAATCCATTGGATCGAATTGAAGCGCTTGTATAAGGTATACAAAGATGTAGTATAGAATTGTTTCCGATTTTGCCCAATGTGCAGGGATTTGGTCGAATCTGTGACCAGATCGTGATTTGATTCTTGGGTTTGGTTGTTGAAAATATCCACGATATACGACATTGGATTTTAATGCTGCTGAAAGCCCTGTTTAATACGAGGACAACTAGTAATACTACTACTACTAGTAGTAGTTTGTTTCTCACTATTGTTTGATATATATATAGACTGACGACCAAGATTGGCAGGCCGAGTTTGACGTGTGGGACAAGGACAACGACGAAGCCATGTCCAAGGCCGAGTTCCACCGGTTCAATTTCTTTGTTTTTTTCTTTTTAGGCCTGTAATAACGTCAAACTTTAGATACTGCGACCAAACATTTGGCAACAAGCTCAAAGTGGTGCTTAAATTCATGAAGTCTGACCTCGACTGCGCCCGCGAACGATCCAATCGCTCCCGCCTCGACACGGCCTTTGTCTTGGGGCTGTTGCCGCCTCCCGAGTACGACGCCGCAGACATCGCGACGCTGCGCCTGCCTCACCACCCGAACGTCAACATGGCCGAGTATGCCAACCTGGTTGTGATGCCGGCCGCCGATCGCAGTTTGGAGGACATTTTCCTCAAAGAACGGCCATCCGAAGCCCAAGTGATCGATATGATCAAGCAGGTTGCGGCAGCATTGGACCATCTACACAGCCATCGCATTGTACACGGAGACTTGAAGAAGCTGAATGTGCTGCGAATGGGAGTTCACCTCAAATTGATCGACTTGGATGCGTCTACTCGAATAGGCGACGCCCTCGGTGCGAAATTCAGCTCGGGGATTCTCCCTCCAGGTATATATATATTTCCCTTTTACCCAAATTTTGGACTTTGTGATATATATATATATCGTTCAAACACTAACTAGCCCGATGGTATATATGTATACTATACACATGTTGGGATTGACATATTGTCAAATCGATTCGAAACTACACCCAAAATCGAATGTCGTCGTCTTAACAGAATGATTCAAAGCACTGCCTAAAAGCCAATCAAATCACGTGGGTATGTGGAATTTCTGCCAATCACAAGTACTTATTCAGTTTCAGCGGGGCATATCCTGATACATACGAAACCTTGTATGGTTTAGTCTAAATTAGGATCAAATGATATTGGCTAATTGATTCCAAATTTCCAAACATTTGGGTGCAACGCAATATATTAATATTTCTTGTTGGTTCTGTCTTAGAAATGTTTTATTCGTTGTCCAACGACGGTGCCCGAGCCCAATTTGAAGAATATTTCACACAAGACAATAACGACGACACCACTTCGTTGTGGGCTAAAGTCAAGCCGAAGCGACACTTTGTCGTACGGTCGTTTCGCCAGCAACTTCAAATTAGCTCAGCAACTCCTCCGCCCAAGTTGCCGTACGAGTTGATTCCTGCATCTCCAGCGGTCGATATGTGGGCATTAGGCTGCATGTTGTTTCAATTGCTATCTGGGGAAGAACTCGTTCCCACGGATGTCAACCAAGACGTGACAGCCGACTACATTGACGCCGCGGCGACGTGGACCGATGCCAAATTGCACATGCGGATACACTCGCAAGTGCCCAACGAGTTTGCGCAGAACTTGCTCAAGCAGTTGCTGCTGGTGGACCCCACGGCGCGATTGTCGGCGGCCGAAGTGCTGGCGCATCCATTTCTAACTGGCCAACGAGGGAAGAACCACCAGGCGGTGCTTGAAAACGTCGCGCTCGTCCACCAAACACAGCGAAACGCCCAAGCCACGCTGCATGCATTGGTAGACGCCCATCAAAACACGGAGCAA